TCCAAATCTATTGTTTTTTTTTTTTTTCCATTTTGACAAGTAATAATTATTTTTCTCCAAGTGGGACTTTTTATTGCTTTTAAAAGTTCTCCACAGTATCTCAAGTACAGCACTTCTGAATACAAATCAAGGACTCATTATTTGTGCCTTAAGTAGCTTGACCATTAGAAATGCAAGACAGAATTATCACATGGAGTCAAAGAGGGCTCTCACAGGTACCTTTATAGTGGTCATTTCTCTGCAGATTTTCAAAGAGGAAATCACACACAAAAGTGTCCCAAGAGATGGAGTCCTGGGAAACCAGCAAAAAAGAAATGTGGAAGTTCCAGGATTTTTTGTATTGCAAATTTCTAAAATATGAGGAACTATTTCAAATGCCTTTAGTTTTCAAATGATAATATACTGTGAATTAATGACTAACAAGGGAAACGCCCACTGAGAAGTTCATCAACAGTGTCCCTCCAAAGATCAGATCCTGTTGGCAAATGACCAAAGAATCCTTGTCTGTTAAGCCATCAAACACTTCTCTGGCCAGGAAGCACTTGCCATCATTTTAAGATTACAAAAGTGAGCAATCAAAAGTTTGCAATTAATCTCATAGTTCCACTGAATACTCTTAAATCTTGTGAGTGAAACACTGTGATTTGTGGCTTCACATAGATTTAAGGTAAACTGTTTTTAAAGTAGAAATATAAGGCTAAGGATAAGCCTTTAAAGAAAGACAAGATTTTTAAGGTTGTCATTTAGCAATTTAGTGGATAAGTAATGCTCTAGGGCTAATTTTAAAGCAAAAACAGTGACAAACCATTTTCTGGGCCCCTTACTCTCTCAGACAAAAGCTGTCTCTCTCAATAAATTCTTCAAAAAAAAAAGCAAATGCAATATGGTCATATGAATTTCCCTTAAAACTAAAAATGCATCCTAAATTATTGTCCATAAATTTGCTTTACTTCAGATTTTGATGGTTTCCAATGTAATTCTTTAATTAACATCAACATATAGGATACTTTTCTTTGATTTCAGTAAATACACCTATTTGTCAAGCTGAAGAAAATGGGAAAAAAAAGGTTCCATTTATTTGCTTAATGCAAGCAAGAACATTTTAATGTAAATATTTATTGAAGACCTGCTGTATACTAGGAATTCTGTTAGATATTAGGAAATAAAGAGAAGTAAATGAAATAAAATGTGGTTTCTACTCTCAAGTTTATAGTCTAATCAAAAAATCTTGCATTAATCCAGGATAGCAAGAAGTCCCAATTAAGATAAACACTAAGTAACTAAAAGAATGTGCATATTTGGTTACTTAAAAACTATGGTTTATACAGAAATGGCAGTTTTTTAATCTAAATTTTGACGACCTTCAAAAGAACCTCAATTGAAACATCAAATGTACAGAAAATCTACTACAGACACACTAAATTATTTCTGAATGTATTTGTGCTGAATGTAAAAATGACAAAAGGCATTTTAAAAGAAAAAAGTGCCAGTTAGTCTTGAGATGCCTTTAACCAAAGCAGTTTCCAGGGGAATTAATGACTGTTTTAGGTTAATGGTCATCAGCTTCATGTTTGGCCCTCAATTAAACTCTGAACTTCAATTGTTATTACTTAATTGACTTGGTTATATTTCATGTCAGCATTTCAAAATGACCTCCTTTTAAAAAATAAAAATTGCCCTGACACAGAACCATGGGTTCTTCTTGGAGCCTGACACTGTTGTGCCGTCCACACTAACTTTATATATGGTGAGCCCAGGATTCGCTTAGCTTTGCAATTGCTAGGGTTCTGCCCATCATCCTTGCCTGATACACAGACAGCTGCGGATAAATCTAAGTGAGGGAGAAAGGCTGAAAATAAAAACATCTATTGATATGATTATTACTAAAATACTAAATAAATCCAGAGATAGGCTTTATTCTAAGTGTACAGGTTAGACAGCTTTAACAAATGCTTTAACACAATCCTGTCATATTTAATCAGTAAGTTATGCTTATTTTAAAATATTACTGTATCTTTTCCTTATATTACAAGTGACTAATGTTTAGTTGTCCTAGTTAACTGGATGAAAACTTAAATCTCTTTTTCTAACACATGAAACAATGAGAAAGCTGAATTTATTAATCATGAGTTGGGTTTTATATAAAGTAGCTATGACATCAAGATTAAGCTTTGCTACACTGACTAAAACAATTTAAGGCATCAAATGGGCCTCTCCCCATCTCTGTATGGTGGAAAAGTTTTAGAAGTCTTTTTGAAGTACTTTGATCAGACTTTGAAATCATTTGAGTGGATTACTATTGTATGAAAACTGTAATTTATAGTGCTTGACCTAAGCGGCTCTTTGTCCCATAGCCTTATTCAAAACAATAGCAGGAAGGTAAAAAACACAAGGGGAACCCAAGCTGGTTATTATTTAATTCATAATTCCATCTGCCTTATTTAATCTTTGGGATCCAGGCATGTTCTTAATAAAACGGGTTCAGACATTTTTACTATGTATAGGAAAATTAGTTTTCAATTCTGTGATAAGATGACCCAAACTTTGTCACGTGGAACCCTACCTTAACCAAAGATCCACACAGACAGGTTCAGATTCTATTCACAGAGACACTGCAGGCAAACCCTCGCTCTTTAGTTAAGTTTGCTCGACTTTGTCATAAAATAGTTACTGTGAGGCAATCTAGTCCATCAGATCAGTGGGAAGCTGACTTCACGATAAACAGCCTGAGAAATTCTCAAATTCATAGACATTTTATTTTAATTCACAATTTTAATTGGTTGAATATCATCATTTAGGTTGAACAGAAGCTATAAAATTTTTACACGCTTTGTTGGCTCTTTGTACCAAAATATTTACTGAGGGCATAAACCTCGTACCATATTTAACCCAGTAAAATCTTGCGGCCTTATTTAAAATTCTATGATCCTACAGGTGTCACACATGCATTTGAAAATTTTGGCCCAAGAAAGATGCCTAGGTTTTGCTCGTCCCCAAAGAGATGAGGCCAATTGCTCCCCAGTCCCCTCAACATATGCACCAGGATTTAGATACGTATTTTGGCCTTTGGATCATTTTCTAGTGAGAAAAATTCAAAACGAAATGAGAAATGCACAGTGCACATGGGGAAGGAAATGGGCAAGGGTTGGTGACAAGAAGAGAACCATGAAGAGAGGAACAGTTAAGGTAAGAACAGGACTGCAATGGTTTAATTCAGTTGAAACATCAGGTCTATTGATGGGCGCAGGCTAAAAAGAGCAAACAGCTACTTATCTTGGTTTCAAAGAGGAAAGGAAACAATGGGTGTAACTCTCTAGTTGGAGGCAGTGAATTAACTGTTCACTTTGGCACTGTGCATTAATTAGGGTGGCCCACCAGAGACCATTTAGATTACCTCATCAGGGCTCTAAGTTATCCTCCGGTGGCTTGCATGAGTTAATGCACCCCCCCTAAAGACCAACAATTTATCATCTTTTCTAGGGTGAAATCAAACCTTACAGATAATGAGCAGATACACACACCTACAGTAGAAAGAAAATTATTTCCCCTGGAGGTCTACTTTCTACTTTAGGGCTCTGAACTTAACCTTTTATATGTGACTGTAGGAGCATGTTGAAGAGTTGACATATACCTCACCAAAAGGCAAAAGAAAAAAAGATTCTCGATTGTTTATGGCTTCCTGGGAGAGGAGGCCAGGATGGTGGAAGTCTATGAAGTCACCCCATGAAACCAATCCTTACTCACACTTTAAACGGGTTTCTTGTGTTTGAGAGTCTCTGCATGCGGGAGAGAACATTTCATGCTATGTTTTACACACACTCCTGTGTGCTTCTTCAGTTGGTGTAATTCATGAGCATAGTACACAGAATGTTCCATAAAACAAGATTTGGCTTTTATGTTACTATTCTAATGATGACAGCAATAAAAGTAAGTTGTCATTCCAGGTCTATTTTACAAGACTGTTTATATTAGACCAAAAAAAAAAAAAAAAACCAACAAACAACATATAGAGATGAAATACAGATAGGTATTTTTAACATAAAAGAAAATACAAGGAGGCTTTAAACTTCCAATTAGAAACATGCCTGTCTGTTCTCCCTTATCCCTCCAATGCAAATGCAGTCAATATATAATCACATTAGTTTTTGTGGGGGAAAAAGCTTACTTTTGAGTCGCTTGTAACTTTATCACAGTGTGTACAGTTTACTCCTGGTTTCTCTCTCACTTTTAAAAGCCAAATTGTAAAGCCTCATTCATAAATTGGAGGTGTCTTTGCCAGTGAATACCAGAACCTTCTCACAACACATTATGTCAGGGTTCCAGGTAGAAGAATAAATACAGAATCCAAGCACCGTTTTTATTTTTTAAATTTATTTGTGCCTGCTAATCATAAATTTGTCTAATGTAAAACAAACAAATCCTTGACAGGGGTTTAACAGGATTTTCAGCATCTGTGCAGATAAATGTAATTTTTTCCTAAGGAGGGGAAAAAAGCAGTTTTGAGCATGCCATGAAACCTGCTCTTGGGAACATTTCTGTTTAAAGTGTGTGTATCAGGCAATCTATTAGTAGTTTCAAATCCTTCTATCTCACTTACAAAATCTGCATAATGAATTTTATACCGAAAACAGTTGCCTGACACCTCGTTACCATTTCATCTTCCTCTCTCTTGTGATTTAATGTTGCCTCACTTCAGAGTTAAAATCCTATTTTGGACTGGATATGTTCATGTCCTTTGAAAGGAAGAACAGTCAGCTGGGTGGAGCCTCCATGTAATCCCAGCACTCAGGAGGCTGAGACAGGGGCATCCCCTTGAGCTTCAGGCCAGCTGGGGTACATGGTAAGTTCACAGCCAGCCTGAATTACAGTGAGGCCCTGTCTCAAACAAAAAGACACACACAAAGAACAGGCAGAATTTTACAAACCTGCTTAGATATAAAACAGTAGCAAAGAAAAATTTAGTCTTTTGAAAGAATCAAGCCGTCTGTGTAACACATCTGTTTGCAAAAGTTATATTTTTATTAATATTTCCAAAATCATCTATTTGACAATATAAAAAGTTATGTTTCACAAGCATGGATGCAAATATTTTCCTAAATACATTTCTGAAATAGATAATTTTTAATTTCTTAAAAGATATGCTTAAAATTAACTTCTTGACATTTTCCTTTAGATTGAAGTCTGGTCTGAAGTATACGGAAGTGAATAAATTAATGTGAGTAAATATAAAATCTATTTTGCTTATGTAAAATTTCCCTAGGTTTATTTTTGTTACAGTTAATTCATTCAAAGCCAAACATTTCTAATGTCTAAGTTATTCAAGTGTTATATAATTATGTACTATAAAATGCAGATACAAAGCAGTGTACTACAGAATGTGCTTTCTTATTCATAAAAATACTGGCTAGCAGAGCACTGACAACTAATCATGTTTAAAGATAAACTCTAGACAGCATGCGCTGTTAGCTTCAATCCTTCCTCTTAGCCTCAAGCCAAAGCGTGTGGTTTCCAGACATAACTAATACTTTTAAATGAGATAAATGTAAAATGTTTGGTGTTCAAATAAGCCTTATCAAAGCGGAAATTCTCGTCAAGTGTACTTTTGCAGTTTGGCCTTCAGCCGCCGAAGCCAGGACACTGTCCAGACTGCACGGGGCTAAGGCGCAGCGCAGGCTGCGATCAGGTATGCTGAAGCCCACAGGTGAGAGGGAAAACCCGTTCCAGCTTCACATCTGCCACTTGTCTAGGTTTGTTCTAGGTTATTCCCCGATGACAATGCTACTGGGGATCTGAAAATGTGTTGAGAAGAAAGGGGGAGGGAGAGAGGATGAACGGAGGCTTAGGGAAAAAAAATGAGAAGGTGACTGAGACGAGAACTGCAAAATCACACCTTTCAGTCTCCACGTTTTTTCTTTTGTTCACTATACAAGGAGAAACCATCCGGAAGGAAGAAAGATTGTGACTATATATAAACTAACTGTTTGGCAGAGACAGAAATGCTGATAACAAGTGGGTTGTGTCTGTAGTTCTTGGCTGTTCGCATCAGCAAGGGATGAAGGAAAACAGAAACTCCTGATATGTTTGTCTAGAGAGGTAGCAGTGTGGCCATACAGCAAGAGTTCAGCTGAAGTTCAGGGCATATGCTGCCAGGAGTTTACACTGCAGGAAAGTAAACTGCTTGCGGATTCACCTCTTCCACCCAGCTTCTCTTCCAGGATCTGTGGGGTCACGCAGTGCTATGGCACAAGGTGACAATGTCCGTGGGAAAACAGGCTTTGAGCAGGATGCCCCTCTCCCGGTTGCAGTCCAGCTCCTGGATAAATCCGTACCAATAGATGACTAAGCCTGGCCCAAATCTGCAAAAACATCAGAAAATAATGTGGACACACAGTATCAACATAGCTCCAGAAAAATGTCATTTTACAGGCATAGATGATTAAAAGGCTGCTGTTGATTTGATTGCTATCATTATGATGAAAGAAGGCAAATGAAAGAAAGAGTTCATTTAATACAAGTGTTGCTACTTGCAATGGATCTATCCCCCTTTTTTCCAGGAAGCTAAAGAATTTCAGGTACAGTAAACATACCCATGTTACCTGTCAGTGAGGTGTTAGAAGTTGAGACTGGCTTGACGACTTAGTGGATGAAAGATTAATTCACAGAAGAAAGAACGGTGAGCCCAGGAATACCTGGCTCGGGATTTTAGTCTCCTAATGGAAGTATTATTCTAAAAATTAAAATTGGCTGCTATCAATGAAAAAAATAAACCAAAAATTTTTAATAGAACAGCTGAGCCTCCTCTCTGGCTATAATGTTCTATACTCATGTACCAACAGGGTGCCTCCTGTCATCCATTTTTTTTCCCTAACCTTAAAAATTTATCCATATGACAAACTAGAATTCTTTAAAGGGACCTTCAACGAGTGCTTTTCTCTCTGCATTCCAACCCAGGTGTGGGGGCAGCTGGTCACTGGTTCTCAGAGAAAAAGGAACAAAGTCAGGTAGACCAGTGACAAAGTACAGATGGGGAAGGCTTAAAACCTCAATATTTCTAATTTGTGCCTCTGAATTGTCTCCAATTTTGTTAGCAGCGCCTGATCCCCGCCAGGCAGACTCAGGAAGTGGCCCTGCAGACTACTTCACACATCAGGAAGTAGAGACCTTTAGGCTGGGTTCATAAAGATGTAATCACTATCAATCACCGTGCACGGAGAGATGTTTGGCACATCAGTTCCACGTTTTTTCCTACCGAGAGCACTTAATTAAAGGGCAGCACTACTTTTGGTGTAGTGTTGCAGGAATTTTACAGTGAAATCATAAATTATGAATGTTTGGTTAGTAAAAGGATGTCTAAAAACAGAACTGCTTTCTGTATTCTAACATTACAGCAGCCTGAACCATGGTAGGCCAAAAGCTTTTTCCTTCCGTGATTTATTACATGCTGCAGTGTACTTGCCAAAGCCAACAATACAGGATGGTCTGTGAGATACTGTATGCACGTGAAAAAGTTCAGTTGGATGTCATGGATTGGAGATTCACATCAGTACAGCGGCCAAGTTATATTCAAGATTAGTTCAAGATTTTGAGGCCCCTCTGTGGAGGGACAGAGTCATGAAATGGCAACTCCACTTGAGTTTATTCTTGGGAACGCAGGAGTTGGGGCTGACAAGAAGACTTGTGCACTGGCCCAGTGAGGCACCTGGAGCTCAGAGCTGGTGTCTTCATCTTTTAGTGTCTCCAAAACAGCCTCCCCAGAGTCAGAAGAATCAGGCTACTAATACAAGAGTGTGAATCCCAGCGCTTGAATGCACACAAGTTCACACCTGGACAAGAACTTGCTTTTGCTTAATAGAGGGTTTCTTAGTAGGTCTATCTCAGTCATATCTGTCCGTACCCGGAACACACATTATTTGAGACTTCTGCAGAGATCTCTCTGATTTATACCAAATGGTCTCTGAGTTCTCAATCCAAATCTGGCAAGAGCCCTCTCTGACCTTGCCATCAGTGACATATCCCAGGAGTCACAGCCTCTGGAGATGGAACACATCCCTCCACTGTATTATACAGCCATACTGTAGCCCATAGTGCTCTTTAGAAAGGCACCAAGATTTTTACAAAGGACAGAAAAAAATGTGATCTAACGAGTCAAAGAGAAGAACAAAAGAATATATGGAGGCCATAAAAAACCAGCCCAGTATTTTAAAGATTTAATAAAACAAAAACACATATCACCAGAACTGAGCGAGCAAGAGCAGCCTGCACTTTTCCTGAACAGCTAAATCATAAACCAAAGGACATGAAGCCTGACAGCTCTTTACGAAAATGGCATTTTCTAGGCAGAAAAGCCAGGCTGGGGGACACCTCAATGCGCGAGAAAATGGACTTGTTTCATGTGTGAGGCAACAGATGAAATCTGGCAACTCAGGAAGATTTTGCAAGACTGTGAATCTGAACATTTTATTAGTGGTTCACAACCAGCATTCCCTAAAGGCAGAATACATCTATGAACATTTTCAGCAAGGCTCATAATAAGGCTCTATCATCCATCTGTCTTTTTATGTTCTTTATGAAAGTTAAGTTCAGTGACACATTAGCTCTGTTACGTAGCTTGACACCTGAAGATCAATATTGTTTAATTGATTAAAAATGAAGAAATGTAACTTCCCTCTGTAAGCAAAAACTGATAGACTTTCAAATCATGTGATGTTTGAATGACAAAAATAATAGAGCGTGACAAGTTTGGAAAGTGAATGGCAGGAAAGAATCTGGCCTTGTTTCTGACATGTCCTTTAATGCATTTCTGAGCTTTCTCCAGGAGTTCAGCTTTCAGAGAGATTATCCAATGCTGGCAAGGTAACTGTTCAGCAATTTACCTGTTTATGATGAGGCTAACCACATCATGCAACTTTATCAGGCCAATGCTTTGGTTATCTGAACACAAGGTAAGTTTTTGGTTGATAATTTTAAAGACTATACAATCCAAACCTGTACCATCTCATTTTGCAAAGGTATGAGTTGTTGTCTTAGCATAGTTCACAGTGTGCCAGTCTCATAAACTGAAGGACTTGCGTTTGAGCCTTATTCTAAAGAAATGTTCAGTAGATTGAGTACATGCCCTGTGGGTAGAACAGTTTCACCACTTTGATGCCCATTCTCATTTACTGTGGTACCTCTGGACAAGAATGAAATTCCAGAGAATGCAAATGGAACCTTTCTGACCAATTAAAGATCGAAGAGACTCTGTTTCTAGCATTTAAAGGAAAACAGAGTCCCTGGGTTTGAGAGTATGCAAAGTAGCAGGTGACTGTGCTATGGGGATTACAGCCCTGCCTGCTCACACAGAGACGCTCAGCAATGGACCATGCACCAAATGGCTGCACCGGTTCCATCCACACTATTCAAGACCAACTTTTAAGGTTGCTATGTTCCTGATAAAACAGTAAGATCAAAGACTCTCCAATAAAATTTAGTCTCTTGAGGGGCAGAGGCTAGAATGTGAGACATCTTTACATACGTAATTTTCACATATTTTCACCAAACTGGCAAAATAACAACTACTTGAAAAAATGGGAAGCAAAAGTTAACACATTGCAGATTTTGATGGCATGAAGTTCTTATAAACAACTGTCTTACAAATTTGTTGCTGATTTCCTTCATGTCAGAGTATTTGGAAAAATTAAATTGGAGAGTAAAGAGCACCTCTGTGGGTTTTGTGCCTACCTGTCTCCTAGTGATTATTCTGTTTCACTGTTTGCTTCTTCTGGGATCCCAGTGAAGACAATGACTTGTTTTAACTGTATTTATGACCTCTGAGCCTGGTATGACAATGCCTAGTATGGGGCAGATATTCTCAAAAGACAAGATAAGAGAACACGAGGTTTGTAATAGCAGGATCAAGCAGTCAGGTACTGGTTACTGAATCAGTGGTGGTCTAGAGATGGGAGGGTTGGCTGGATTAAATACTGGTTAGAATATACCTATAGAGTTGTGAGGGATTTTGGTGCCATATTGAAGGGCAATGATTCTCGTCTATAACTGAGCCAGTGGGGAACCCCAGGATATTGAGAAACGGTTGGAGTAACACTATGTCTGACCTAGAAGTGAATATGCTGGTGCTAACTTTATCTTTCAATTTTGTGAGGGCTCTTGGAGAGGACAGGGCTTGATTCACAATTGTATCTCCTAAATGTGGGCTTAAGTAAGTATTTGGAAGAACCTAAGAATTAGATTTTGAGTCAACATCATTTTTTTTTTCCATAAATGAAACTTTGGGAAACGTGGAGTAAGCTGCTGTGTGGAATAGTGATGTCTCTCTGACTATTCAATGAATCAAGGTTGGGCTTTCATTAGTTAAAACAATTCAGCCAACACATCAAAAGTGGGAATTTTACACAAAACCACATTTTTCTAAGGGTACTAAATGATCTGGCTACAGTAACTGTAGCTGAGTAGCAGACGCCTCTTCCCCTCCAGATGTCACACACATTCTCGACTTTGCTGTGGTCTCTACACCCTCTGCCACTCCCCCAGGCTAAGGATCACTACCAGGTATCCCTCATCATCATGCTTGTACTGAGAATTCTATTGGAGAGACTTAGTTGTCCATACTCAGATCTCTGTCAAATGTGGGAAAGCAGGAGATAATTTTAGAGCACTTAATATTTCAAGAAAAGAAGAGAACACTTTTCTAATGTCCTGCCTACCTCACTCATTTATGTTGTGTACCTGGCTTTCATGGCCATCTGAGTTCTTGACCCCTGGCCTGAGATCAAATCCAAAGGTTTTAATGTCATGGCCACAGAGCCCTGAGAGATTGTGAAGAGACTGTTTTCCATGCCAAGTGCCATCTGCAGAGGGGGAAAATGTACATATATAGGATTCACAGTAGCTTTCAGTCATGTATTTTCTATGGAGATGGAATCTAAAAGCACAGCTGTGATCATTTGGGGGAAAGCAAAAATTGTTTTTGTTTGTTTGAAGATCTTCCAATCTGGCAGGGTTGGGGGGTGTTAGTCTAATTGGTTCCCCTTCTTTCTATAGATAGATGTGTTATGCACAGGTGAACAGTGAACACAAAGGAGGTTTGATGATATGGGTAACACTCAGACATATTGAAGATGTGTGAAAATACTTAGCGAAGTTGTAACTAACCTGTCCCTGCACATATGTTTCATCTTTACAGCAAAAAATGAGCTGGAAAGAAAGACATTTAGTAACTGTACCAGGTCGCATTTAGAACTCACTCTACAAGGAACAGTCAGACCAGACCGCTGTTACCTACACGAAGAAAGGTACAGAGTGTTGAACTAAATTAGGCAGCAGCAGGAACACAAGAAGGCTGTCAACAATGGTGCCT